ATTCATTTATTTGAAGAATTTCAAATTTTTTGAGGTGAAATATCTTGTTTGGATGGAGAATTTATAAGGAATTTGAAATTCATGCATTTGTAAAATTCTTTAAAATAGTAGAATTTGAAATTCTCCCAAAAAAGCAAGAATTTGAAATTTCTCATAATTTTTTTCTTCTTATTTCACTTATATATTTTATCTTATCTCTTATCTCTTCAAGTTTTGATTATTGAATATTCAAAAATATTTTTAAAGTCATTAAATATTATTCTAATATTAATTTTTAAAATTATTAAATATTTAAAAATTAGCTAATATTTATTTTTATAAAATTTAATTTAAAAATCTCAACATATAAATATATTTTTAAAATCAATTTTATTATGGTAGAATCAAATTATCATATCCAACCCAACAATTTAAAATTTGAAAAATTTGAATTGACTTATCCAAACAAAATATTTTAAGAATGATAGAAATTGAAATCAAAGTAATTCAAATACTAAGAATTTAAAATTCTTTAAATTTGTAAAATTCCTCATCCAAACACACCATTAAATAACACTAGAGTTTAAACTTAAGATCGGTACTTGGATATCATAGAAACTCGGAAGCCATTAGATGAAATTTGGTAGCAATGAGTTGAATGAAATAAAACTAGTAACCAATATTCGGCATTTTTTATTTTTTCCTGGACTATATACATCTTTCACTAGAAATAATCATGATTGAGTTTAATAAAATGATTATGACACAAAAATTTCTTTATGTATTTAACACAATTTCATATTGTACCCGTCTAAAGGATATACCAATAATCCTTCCCATGGAAGTCCGGGCCCATAAATGTCAGTATAAATAGCTCTTGTCACGAGGTAAGGTCACTGTTCATTAATTGCTATCGATATCTGCGCTTTGTCCTGACTTGAGCGTCGGAGTGCCTTTTGCAGGTACCTCCCCCACACCAGAATATTGGTTCGGAGCGCTCGTTCGGCCCTCAGAATACGAAAGGATTATTGGTGTATCTTTTAGACAGGTACATTCTTACCTCTATTAGTAGGAATCTGAGTTCATAGATCACCTGGTAGCCGAACGGCATTCGGCCACCTGGTTCGGTCATTCAGGTGCCGATTGGGTGTCGGCTATCAGGTGGCCGAGTGGCCGAACCAGGTGGCCGAATGGCCTTACTAGTACACATATTTAGGATTCAAACTTTAGATTAAATTTCTTATAATTATATTAGAATACCACTAACATGATTTCAAGTAAATATTTACACATTTAATTTTTCGTTGAATAATTAATTTTGGATCTTAAATTAATTTTGAATTAAAGAATTTTAGATAAATTATAAGTTAGATAAAAATGATAAATTTTATAATTAACTTGTTTTTAAAATAAAAAATCAAATATACAAAAATTTTAAATCAATTTTAATCAAAATTAATTTTCATTCAAAATCAATTTTATCTTATAATGGTAGGCATGTTTTTGGCGATTTGCGTGTGGTGGAATTTGCACGGGATTTGATTCGATGGCATTAGTTATTAATTATCCCTGATTTCTGGATCCAGAAGATTTAAAGTTGTCTTCAACCTCCACTTTGATTAGATTATATATTTTTATTCTATTCTACACAAACTAGCTCAAAAAGATTCAAGAGTGTGTAAATTGTACCTTGTTGTATTTTTTTTTTGGGTAATGTAAACAAATAAAGACAACAAAAAAAAAACAATTAGACTATTTAATTTTGATGAGTCCATATTCAATATATAAAAAGAGATGAAAAGGGAAACAAAATTCACACATGATTAAGTAATATAAAAAGAAGATTCATTTATTTTTATCTAAATTGCATATTAAATAATGAACAAATATAGATAAGAGAGAGGAAATAAGTCAATAACACAATAAAACTCGTTTGGTTAATATGATTTTTGTTAGATGAAAAATTTAGATGTGAGTTATTTGTAAAATTTATTCTCAAAATTGAGTGAAAATAGTCGAAATAAAGGTTTAATTTGTTACACTTTTATCCCCAGTCAATACTTCTATCTCGTCTGAATATGAAACAAAGTAAGTTATTTTATTCGAATATATGAGCTTGCAAGTTCTGCAGTGTTTTTATTTGAATGTGTATGCATGAGGCTTGAACGTTGTATTCAAATGTGTGGGTCTTGTATTCGAATGACCATGCTATTTATTTGATTGCAGCATGATTTTATTCGAATGACATGTCTTGTATTCAAATATGTGATATGTTTTATTTAAATATGTGTGTTTATTTGAATACAATCACACATTCATTCGGATAAAGATTTGAATGTCATCATGTATCTTGTATTCAAATATATATGATATGCTTTATTCAAATATAGCCACACATTGATTAACAACATTCCACCAAATCATTTATTTGGTTGAAATATTGAATTATAGTTTGGTTTATTCAAATAAAAAAAAATGAATTTAATCGAATAAAAAAGAAGAAAAAAAACTTCTGGATAATATGTAGGTAATTTAAAAGGATAAAAACTGTATTTTTGTAACAATTTTTTTTTCTCTCCATTCATTCAAATCAAACAACTTTATAATATTATTTTTCTTCTATTTCTCACATATTTCTCTCTTTCGATGAAAGTTTCTAGGAGTTCTTTTAACTTTTTTAATTCAATTTTTATTTATTATAATTATTTATAAATTAAATATTAATATTTTAAAATAATTATTAATAAAAAAATTGTGATAAGATATGAACTTTTTTGACAAAAGATAAAGTATGAATTATTCATCATAAAACTAAAATATAATTTATATATTTAAAAATATCTATCTCACAAATTTTAAATATTATTTATATATTTAAACATAATATATATATATATATATATATATATAATCTACTATAAATTTTAATTATATATAATAAACATTTAACATGTGTATTGCACATGTTAAAATACTAGTTATTATGATTAAATAAATTTAAAAATTCATAAGCTTTTAGTATATATATATATATATATAAACATACTCAATAATTCATGATATATGTTGAATTTTAACAATTTAATTGTTAAATTAAAAATTCTAAATATGTAAATCAAGTCAACAAAATTTTAAAAAATTGAAAATCATATAATGCTTTATTATATAGATTCAAATCAACGTATAAAATATTTTTATGATTATCTTTTAATTTAAATTAATAAAATGAAGTATTAAATAATTTTAAATTATTTTTAAAATTTATAAATTTGATCTATACATTTAAATTTTTTAATTAAACAGTTAAATTGTTCAAGATAAACAATGAGTTATCAAGTAGACTAATTTTTTTAAAAGTTACTTCCAGAGTAATTTGATCATTCTTCTCTTTATATTAAATTTGAAATAAATAATTGTTTTTAACCATAGAATTCATTTTTATTTTATAATAAACATTTTAACCTAGAAGATTATTATTGATAATTTTTTTTAAATATTTAATTTAATTTAAAAATTGAAAATGATATATTATTGAAGATAAGAGATTCTAAAATAACCTTGATTTAAATATACTTTTAGTCTTTTTGATTTTGGTGCATGGAAATTTTTTTCTTTATTTTTCATCTTCTAAAATTTTTAATTTTTTTTTATCATAATAAAATATTTTTGATTCTTGTAAAATAAAATAAAAATCTAAAATCACTATTTTTAATCTCTAATATTTTTAAGATATATAAATAATAATTATTTCAAGAATTTATGAACTATTTTAAAAGTGTTACATATTAATATGATATCACTAACCATTGTGGATAGCATTCAAGATCACTTAATTTTTTAATAAAATATAAGTAGTCAAATTTAATCATAAAAACTAAAAATAATAATTATAAATTTTAAAAGAATAAAAAATATAAAAAAATTACGAAAACCAAAATAAAAACATGATCATATATTTTATAAGTATTAAAAATATATTAAAGGCAAAAATCTTTTAAGAAAAATAATTAAAAATAATTTCTATGAAAAATGATGAATAATAAAAATTATTCTAATTTAACAAATTTTTTTGGTATAGACTTGGAATGCCTTTTTTTAATTATGACTTTGAAATTAATTAAGAAGGTATCATTTTCAATTGCTTTTGGCTTGCAAGAGGTGGGAACCGCCGGATGCGAAAGCGAGAGTAATAAGTCCACGTAATGCGTTGCAGGGTTTCTAGAAAAAGTACTGTGGCGTTAATAATTCAACTTCAACTTCCTGCACTATTATTTCTAAGCCACCATGTCCTAAACTGGACTCAACCATTCCCACTGTAACCACTCTGGCTCCGAGTTTCTAGGATTGGCGTCAACTCAATTAGAGAATTATTTCAAAATTAATTCTCACTACCACAATTATTTTATACCCTTTCATCACAAAACCACTACTATTTATTTCTCTAATTATTGGTTAACTTCGTTCACACTCCTTAGTCCTTAGCAAAAGACAAAACTATAATCTCTACATTTTTTGAATATCCTTTAAATTATTGTGTGGACTCTTTAATAAGCCGGTTCCAAGGCCCCACACTATCACTCAACCTTAACCTTTTTCTCCTTCCACACAAGCCCTCTCCCAATTGGCTAAGAATTTCTCTAGTCAATGGAAACTCTCTTGTATTTTACCAAAATAAAAATAAATAAAATATGTTTAAAACTGTTCTTTATAACCCACCTTTTCATTCATATTTGGAAAATGACAACTTACCAACTAGTAATTGATTGCAAGCATCGACTTAAATGCTAATGGGTTGTCTCAGAAGATCTTGCTTATTTGTTTTGCTTTTGAAATGATCTTTGACCCAGAGAACGAGAGATCATGAGTAGGAAGGATCTAAGAAAGTAACTTGGAAAAAAATGAAGGGTAAAAATGAGTTAGGGAAATAACCTTTTGAGGTTTGAGACGTGGCGAGGGACCACAAGTTGAGGAACTAACTATCCTTAATTTGATTTGCAAACCCATATAATCAAAATTTCAATGTCTAGTTGGTGAAGAACACCGCCAAAGTCCACAAAACAACAAGCGGTGGAGGTATTTATTTGTCAGCATGAAGGAGGCTCTATAATATAAAATGGGATGTGTCTACTGTCCTCGGTTGAAAATAGCCTTCTATTCTTCTGTATCAGCCAATTCACATCAACAACCCGTGAACATCACAGTGCAACTGTTTTCTGTGTTGGAATACAGTGAGGTACAATATACAAAATAAGGAATTACACCAGCATGATTCAAACCTGTCACATGTATTGATTTGTACGTAAGTTAATTCTTTTCCATCTTAGAACACTATTTTTAAGATCTTTATAGTATATGAATGCAAGTTTTGAAGAATTATTCTCACACTTCAGTTGAGATATAATTTGATTTTAGTGCATGTACATATGGGATGTTGTAGTTTGAGTGCGTAGCATTCTAAACATTACTATTAGCTACATGAAATTAAAGTACCAAAACTAATCAACTTCTGACTTCTCTTCCAGGATATTATCTTCAGCTGTTTTTTCTTGCATGAGGAGCTTTCATATGGACATTTCATCGATCAGAGGGTTACCTGAACTGGTAAGATACATATCTCTTGTAAATACGTTATTCTTGGAACTAATAATAATAAATTTATACTATGAAAGTTGATGTGGATCATTAATTACTTTGACAGTGACTGATTATACATTTGGTTGGGAAACAAGGCCAATATGTAATAAAAATGAGTGAAACATGGATATATACTTTATTCTTCCTGACTAAAGGGTATAATGTTTTTCTGATTTTGCAGGGGGTAATAGAGGATCCTAACTTTCTCCATCAGTGGCAGTTAAACTCTATTGATACATGTGCTGCTTTTGAAGATATTTTGCAAAAGCACTCGTTATCTGATAACTCAAACTTCAACCCCAAAACATCCATGGAAACATCACCAACTGGAAATGAAAGACCTGCAAAACAGCTCAGAAACAACAACTGGAATCACAACAAAAGTCAACAGATCTCGGACACACAATTTGCTTCATGCTCAAATCTTCTTTCGTTTGTTAACTCGAATTACACAAGTGAATTGGGAGTAGTGAAGCCTAAGGTGGAGATGGTGTGTCCTAAAATCAATAACAGCACTCTTGCTGACATGTTGATCTCTCAAGGAACCTTGGGGAATCAAAACTATGTCTTCAAGGCTTCCCAAGAGGCCAAAAATATTGAGACACGTCCTAAACTTTCTCAACCTCAAGATCACATAATTGCTGAGAGGAAGCGGAGAGAGAAACTCAGCCAACGGTTCATTGCTCTATCTGCTCTTGTTCCTGGCCTAAAGAAGGTACCAAAAAATGTTGTTAGTGCCCTTTTTGTCATGATGATATTGAGTTTATACCTTCTGTCTATCATAAAGCTATGTGTTAAACATATGTTGGAGTTTCTAGACAAAAAACTAGCTAAACATAAGTTTTTGTTTTATAGCTAGACATGGTTGGTGTGTTATTCAAAAATTAACAAATAAAGACTAATCTGTGCTCATTGGACTGAACATTAGTTTATGAAGACATCCAATTAATTAGGTGTATAATATTGATTTCTTCGTGCTTCATCTTGTCTAAACATCTTTCATCCTAGCCTCATAAGAAACTATAGAAGATTGTAATATATATCTTGGTTTGGTATTTCATCAAAACTCAAAAGTATCAGAAACCTTTTGAATGAAAGACAGCATTAAGTTTTTGAATTAAATATAATATTAACATGCTAGTATAATAGTAATAGTTTTTGTTGCTCTTGTAGTTGTCATTAATTTTTGTCAATCCTGTTGCTACTTGCTTGATTAGGTTATGATTCTTTCAACCTGAAACCATCTTTAAAGTCTCTCTCTCTCTCTCTCTCTCTTAATTCCCTTCTAACAGATGGACAAAGCTTCTGTTCTTGGAGAAGCTATCAAGTACTTGAAGCAAATGCAAGAGAAAGTGAGTGCTCTTGAGGAGGAACAGAACAGGAAGAGAACTGTGGAATCTGTGGTAATTGTGAAGAAATCTCTGCTATCTAGTGAAGCTGAAGATTCTTCTTCTTCAGACACTGGAGGTACAGTTGATGAGGCACTACCTGAAATTGAAGCACGATTTTGTGAAAGAAATGTCCTCATAAGAATACACTGTGAGAAGAACAAAGGCGTCATAGATAAAACAATCAGCGAAATTGAGAAACAGCATCTGAAAGTCATCAATAGCAGTGCCATGACATTTGGAAGTTTCATCCTTGATATAACCATTATTGCTCAGGTAATTTCTGCATTTAAAACTCTATCTGTTCAAATCTCTATTTAGAACTAAGTTCCAATACAGCGGTAACATCTAAAGTGGTTCGATCAAATAATTAAGGAAAAAAAAGTGTTCGCGTATGACACAAAATGCTCAATTGATATGATATGCATCAAGTTTTGCTTTTCATCATTTTGTTCCATTAAAATATGGTTTTCTTTCAATAAGGGAATTATTTCTGCAATTTGCAGATGGATACGGAATTTTGCATGACAGTGAAGGATCTTGTGAGAAGTTTACGCTCAGCTTTTTCATATTTCGTGTGAAGAAGTCTAATGTTTACTTCACTATGAAAGGTTCATGAAGAATAGGAGTGCAATCAATATATATATATATATATAGCAGTTCATATTATCAAGTTTAAGTTCTTCAATAATATTTCTGTTTCCAAGGCCAGCCATGTCTTCCATCTTAATTAAACCATTTACACCAACCTTGTTTGCTCCATGGTTCATTTTGCAGGAGGGTTTTTCTAGTGATATTTTCTTTTTTGCATGGTCAACTTGTTGACAGTGTTATATTGTCACCCTCCTGTTTCAAGAGTTTGTTAGGCATTTTTTGGCAGGAAGTTGAAAACTTCAACTGCACCTGTTTTCCATCTATTTCATACCTAAATCCTGACAAACTGGCCTTTGTTGAGGGACTTGTTAATTTTTTGTTCAAGTGTTCTTGAGTTACTTGTTATTTGAAGCATTATATGCTTTTAATGTAAAAGTTTGGTAGTGATGGAATAACTATATCTTTTTACATCGTATATGTACATGTCTTATAACGCATATTGCATGGCCTCAACTTTCAGTTAATTCCAACGAGTTATATATAGATTATGGAAAATTTCCAGCATCTACTACGAGTTCATTCACATGTTTGTACCAGAAAGAAGTGAATCTATTTACACAAAAAAATATTCTCGATCGTACTTATGCACTACTACTATGAGACTTTAATAGACGTTCGTGTCTACAGCTATCTGGGAAGGTTTGACACAAAAGTAAAATCCCACAAAACATACATGTTTGATTCAAATAAAACACGGATATTGAGTTTTCAAGGTCCTTAACTTGAATTATGATTTAGTTCAAATACTATAATATTCTCTCTTTCTCTTTCCTTTTTTTCCAATTGTCATTTTGATACTTGCACAGTGTTTACAAAATTTAAAACCTTTCGTAAGATATTTCCACAATAAAATTTAAATGACTTGGAATTTTTTATTTAATGTGTTTATATTATCCTTATGCTTGATCATACAGAAGTTTTATTATTTTCTAAATTATATTTTTAATCTTTTTATATATTTGTAAGATTTAATTTAGTTCTATTATTTTTAAAATGTTCAATTTGATACCTTAATTTTAAAAAAATGTTCAATGTTATTTTTCCATCTAAATTGATATTAATGAAATTAAGTGAAAGAACAAATTTGACATTTTTTAAAAAAAATTAGAGAACTAAATTGAACATCTTAAAAATAGTGGGATCAAAATAAATATTTTAAATAATTTAATTTAATCATCTAATTTCTAAATGATGTTTAATGTTATTCTTTCATAAGATTTCATTAATCTTGTTAATTTTAATTTGAATATAATGATAACGTTAAATATTTTTTAAAAAAATAGAGGATAAAATTAAATTGTTTAAAAATAATAGACCAAATTAAATAATTAAAAATGAATAGTGAGACCAAAAGTATAATTTTTTTTTCTACCTGATTTTGAATATGCTTTACCTTAAACCCCTAATCAAAATGTTTTCTTAATGATGGCTTCCATTTCAACCACCATTAGATATCGAAGGATATCTTTAAATGTAGAATCCGCTTACTTAATCCACCCAACGTGTAAGCAGAAAAAAAATGCACTAATGTCGCTGACTAGGAATTTCAATTAAGATGCTGCTTTCGAAAAATACAAACTGATCCTTCTTAATTTGAATTTTAATTAGTGCTTTACATCTGAATTAGTAATTTGGATTGTTCGCCATTACTTTTGTTTTTTTTTTTCCCATTCGGGTGGCTCTATTATTTGTACGTCATGAGAGAGATACAGATAGAAATAATACATAATTTTATTTTTTGGTGTGAATATAAAATAAGTTATTAATTTATCAATGGCTTCAAAGAGAAGGAATCATGTTTATTATATATAATATATAATATCACATGGATAATATTTATTGGCTTATATATAATGTTTGTTTAAATAAAATGGATGAAATGAAGAGGAGTTGGCATTCGACAATGTCAGATAACCTGGTCAAGAGGATATACAATTAACAACTTGATATAGACAACCCAGAAAACTTGCAATGCCAAGTTAAAATATTGCTGAAGTTTTTTGTCTTCATTAGATATGTATCTATATCTTTTGTTTTAATAATTTACGTTCAATCGTTGTCGGGATTTCTTTATAATCTTAGTCCCCACAAAAGATTGCAGCCTTATTATGGTATAGTTATTTGACTAAAAATATTTTATTATCAATTGTGACCATTTTTTTTAATTAATCAGCTGTAAATTTTTTTATATCGACAATTAATTATATTTTTAAAATAATTTTATTTTATTTTTATTTTATTAAATAAGTAACTGATATGACATTATTAAAAAATATGAATAATTGTTAATGTAAAAAAATTTATATTAAAAATATATAGATGATTAACATTTTTTTTATCGTGCCAAAGGAAGAGGGTTCATGTTTCGAAGAGCAGTAATTAGAATTCATGTATTTCCTAAAGCGGCACACAGTAAAACGACACTACCGGCCTGGTTCATAAATAAAATCACTTGTAAATGGGCTTATTGTAAGTAATCAAAAAGTGTTGGCGATTGTCGCAAGGAAACGTAAAATCACTTTTATTTTATAACAATTATTAATGATTTCCAGATACTTTGGACTTTTATATTTTACTTACTAAAAATAATTAAGAATTATCAACATTCGTTAAATTAATTTATGTTGTAAAATTGATCCTTAAATTTTAAAGTCTCAAATTTGATAAGAATAATTAATTTTTAATATTATTTTTTATTATTTAAAAATTTAAGAGTCAAATCATTTAAAAAATATAAAGACAAAAAAGTGGTTATAATCTCTTATCCCTTTATATATAGGTATAAATATACAATCATATCTGACTAATATAATCTTAATTTTATCATCAATTAAATGTATAATAAAATTAACTTGATGTTATAAAAAATAACAAAATTAACTTGTTTTGATACAATCTAATTACTATGGAACCATTATGATTACTACTATTGTTGTCACTGTCACTATTATTATTATTGACAATATTAACATTGTTATCATTATTATTATTATTTTTATTGTTGTTATTATCATTTTGTTTGTAATAGTGATGACGATGAAGGTGATAGCAATAACAATAATGATAATTTTAATAATTATAATAACATTAATAATAATAATAATAATAATAAAGATAATATGATAACAAAAATACGTGATAGTTTTATGTGTAATCTTTTAAACAAAGTTGTTATTTCAAATTAAGGGGTGAGATTACACATTTTTATTCTCATATAAAAGCAATATTCTCGTAGTATACAATTTCTAGGTATAAATATAACAAAATAATGTAAAAATGATGATAATAAAGTTTTATAATAATAAATAAATATTTTATCACTTACATGTTTGTCAAAATACATGTTTAAATATTTTCTCTTAATCTCTTCATATGATTGAAAGATCTTCTTTAATTTTAATTTGATGATAGATAAAAGGTATATGAAATAAATTTTAACTTTTGTATATTGTCATCAAATAATAAGTTAAATCCATAAATACTATAAAATGAAAAGAAGCAACACTTGAATGAATCTGAAATAACAATTTTTTTTAATGATTATCTATGAATAAAAAAGACACATCTTATGAGATTTGATTTAAAAAAAAATTTGACTAAAGTGAATATGAGATTGTAGACTAACTCATTAATCATTATAATAATATTTTTTTATTTTTATTTTTTTTAAATATATCGAGATAAGATAATAATTACTTTCAAACTGATAAAAAACTAATTCTCTTAATTTACTCCCACTACAACATTATACATTTTAGTATTATTTATTTTGTAAATATATTTTAAATACAAAATATTTATTAATTTTATTAATAACAATTTTTTTATATCATAATATTGACTATGCATCTTCTCATCCAATCACAAATTAAAAATTAAAAAATATGAATTCTTTAAAATAAAAATGTATATTTATGTATTTTAATTTATATTTAGTAGATTATATATTTTACCTACATTAATTATGCGTTTTTTTTTATAAATTAATTTTTTTATATATTTTATTTAACTTTGAAAATATTCATAATTATTAAAAAATGTTATTATATGATAGAAAATCACTTTTTCAAAAGGAAAAAAAATTGCGTAGATTAATAAATCTTCTACATAAAAATTTAAACAATTATGTCAAACAAAAAAAAATAACGACCATTAACAAAAAAAAATGCTTTTAGTTATTTTTTTTTCGATAGAAACATTTTCAACAAAAAAAAAACAGCCTTCTCTTATCATGCATAACAAAATGTAACACTTAAACAAACTACAGTAATTAAAATGTTAATTGATTTTTTTTGGTGTTGTTTTTTTTTTTTTGGTGTTGAAAATGTTAATTGATTAACGTTATAAATGAGTTATTATATCTTGTTTTTATATATTTAGATAATACAAACCTTATACAAAACAAAAATCTCAAATAAAAGCAGAGCAAAAAAAAAACAACAAAAAGAATGAATAGTTACCAATTAATTATAGCACAATAATATATTGAGTAACTTCAAATGTTGAACCACTACCCTTAAGAAAGTGGAAAATGCTATGGAAGTTTCATATTATAGCACCACAGTTTCTCGAATAACTCCAAATACTGAACCATCACCCTTAAGAAAGTGAAAAGTGTTATGTATGTTTCACATCAATAAAAATGAGTGAAGGTGAGATTGTAAATTACCAACCGGTGTTTATGACAACCAAAATAGTTTATAATACCTTTAGCTAATGTTTATGCGTATTTAAAGGATTCAATGATCGTGAAACAACAATGACAAAAGACGAATTATGTGTTTAGCATTTATAACACCTATAATGAATGTAAACCATGGTAACATAGTAATTTGACAATTATAAGATTGTTAAAGATGATAGATTTGTGTTTTCACTTGTCCACGCTAGTTCTATTGTGCTTTGTTTCAACCACTCACAACTTCTGATTTTGATTAATTCTCGTTTACCTATTTTTTGTTTTAAAATAATGTATTTTTCTTATAATAAACACAGGGTAAAAAAGAAAAATAAAATGTGTACACCAAAGTTTGATATTAACTTTATCTATTATTATAGATATTAATAGTATAGATAAATAGTTAATCATTTATATATCGTCAGTGTAAAATTTTTTTACACTGACAACTAATCATATTTTTTAATTATTTATTTAATGAAATAATAATAAAATAAATAATTTTAAAAGATATGATTGGTTGCTAGTGTAAAAAGTTTTACACTAACAGTGTAAGGATGATTAGCTCATAGATAAACTAAAAAACAACATTTTTTTGGGAAGAAGATAAAGATTAAAATTTCATTATCTTTATTATTTTATTCAACATCATTAGCAACAAGGTGTCGTGGTGTAGTTGGTTATCACGTCAGTCTAACACACTGAAGGTCTCCGGTTCGAGTCCGGGCGACGCCAACTTTAAAATTTTTTGTTTTTGCGAAAAGAGATTAGCAAGAGAAAACGACGTCGTTGGGGGTGCAATTTCGTTGCCTAGATCCAAGGCGTGTAATATGAAGAAGCTTAGAAGCCACAGATAAAATTGGAAAAAGTGGGAAAAGGAAGCATTGGAGGTCCACGAACCGCCACCCAATCACATTCTCCCGAAATAACTTTCTCCATCCTTATTGGTCCACGTCATCACCCCAGAACCTTCCATCCCCAAAACCAAACCACTATATTTTCTCCTCCAAACACATTCCAACTCTATCATCATCTTCATCATCATCATTGTGAAGCCAATTCCGTCTTTCTCCTTCTCTTCGCCTCACACCATGAAATCGCTTCTCCGCCTCGGAATCGCGTTCCTTCTCCTCCACTCCTGTCTCGCTTCCGACACCCCCTACCCCAAGGCCATCTCCGTACGTCTTTTTTCAATTTTCTTTTTATTATTATTTAAAAAACCATTGCCTAGGTTCCTAATTTGACGTTTTTGCTTGCAGGACCTGAAGGACGCGATTGTGAAAGGATTAGGGTTCAACACAGAGGATGAAGTCAAGATTACGGGGTTCGATCCTCGAGACGCTGAAGTAGGACATTCCGTGGAGTACCAATTCGACCTCGAGATCGATCACCAGGTTATTCCCTTCAAGCTCCTCGAAGACGTCAAACGCTGGGACTACGTCGACCTTCCAATTTTCCGGGCCCAGGCCCAAACCGGCTTGGTCAAGAAGCAGCCTTCGGAAAACCGCCTTCCCGTTTTGGCTCCCTTCATGCTCGCCGGGCCCATGGAACTCTGGATCCATGATGCCAACGACATGAGACTCTCTCTCCCTGTAAGCCCTAAACCATAAACCATTGCCCATTGCACATTGCTGATTAGTGATTATAATTTCCTAATTTGTTTGAGGCCGTTATTAACGTTGGTGTGATTCTGTTTCCAGCATGACGTGGAAGCTGGTGTTTTGAAGAAAGTGGTTTTGGCGGAGGGAGCGGCGGTCACGGTGAAAGGAGCGAGGTCCGTTAGTCTCCGTCAACCGCTTGATTTCCCTCTTCCGTTGAACCGAACACAGAACGGTTTCGCTAACGGTCTCTTAACCCTTGCCGAGCATCTTCGCCATGCTTCTAGAACCCAGGCTTCTCCGATCCTCTCCCTGCGAATCGTTGGTCCCACATCGCTCACAGCAGCACCTTCCTCCACTTCAACCTCTTTAAAGCTCAAACGTCTCGCGCCTGGGCTCGTGGAATTGTCGTCGCCTTCTAAAACCAAAGCGGTTGAGGAGATTCCTAGCGTTGATATAGAAAGTGAAGCTCCCACGGTTCTCACGCCGACTCAGTTTACTACATTGTGGCCTCTGGCTTCGCTTAATGGGTCGAATGCGAACTTGTTAGGGTTTGAGAAGCTTTTGCATACTGTGTTGGGGGCTAAGGCTGATAAGAAGGGTTCGTTCAGGTTGCTGAAGGCTGATGTTTCTGCTCAGACGTATGTGAAGATTGGTTTTCAGGCGGAGAAGAGGATTAAGGAAGGGGAATTGGATGGTTACTTCCCTGTGTGGAGGACTAAGCCTGAGACGGTGACCACGCACTTTGAGGTGCTGGCAAAGGTTGATGGGGATAAGGTTATACCGGAGAAGGTGATGCCGGTGCAACCTGTTATCGCGGTGGATAATGTGGCGCCGGAAATGCTCTCTGGGAATGTGTCCATGTCGAAGACACCCGTGGTTCACCCTCCGCCTAACCCCTTCTACTTATAATGTGTGGAAAGGGAAGGGGATTGGTTCATTTTGTATGCTTTACAGGAAGATATGCAATTATAGCACAGTGAAGAGGGAACAATCTTGTTTTTCATTTTGGTATATACACAACAGATGTAAAATTGTAAGTAATGAGGAATTTGTTTTATTTTTCCATCATGGATTTGCTTCTTACCCTATACAAATTAACCACTCTAACAAAAAAAAAAAAAATCTTAGAGAGAGTGTTGGACTTATTGCAATTTTTTTTAATTTTATGTATTTTGAACTAAAGGCAGTTTGAATATAAAAGTGTTTGAGTGGAATTCACTGGATTGCTAATAAAGTTGGTAATTGGCAATTGCATTGGGGTGTCACCTGGGCAATTCCTTTGCAAATTGTCATCATAAGTTCTCCTACAGTCAAATTTAGCAGGATTTTCAGAATTAATAGACATTGAATTATTAAATATATTCTGTACCGATGCTATTCAGATCCAATTTTTGTATGATTTCGTCATATTCTTTTCATATAGCAAAAACATCTGGTTGGTGATTCTCTCCCTCATTCCATTTTAGGCTCTGTTCCTCTTTTAATCTTTCTTTGTTTAAAGTTTCATTTTTTTTCCTCACTTTTTTTGTTCTTTTATTTCAATTAGAAAAAACATTTAATACATTTTATACAAACACGCTGAATAAGTTCTTTTTGGTCTCTTTTTGCCTTTGTTTCTGTGTGCCCTGTTACAAGCTTGGATTTTGTGGTGTTGTATGCGGCAATTCACATGTTCAATTTGGTATTCAAGCAGAAACATACTAGTTTTCAATCACCTGCCTACCAGTTCAATCAATATACCAATTGATACGAAAGCAATTTTTTTAAACGTTTTTCTCGTAATAAATTTAGCTTGCCATCCATCCCCATAATTAATATTAATATTGTTTTAGAATTTGTATCCAAGGTTAAAACCCGTAAATGAATTGCTAGGTCTACCCATGATGAGGAAGGCTGCTTCCTTTGCTTTCTCTAATATATAACATCAACAGTCACTGGTGACATCATTTATTGCTTGGCGGGAAAAGGTAGCATCTTCTACATAATGCTATTTTGCAGTTAGTTTCTCCACATAGGATTTACAACATTGCGTTGTATTTCCTTCACTTTTAAAGAATCTGTTTCCTATGCGAGCAGAAGGTTACTCCTCTGAATCCAAGGTTGCTATCTTGGGTGTTGGTGGGCCTGGGAGAATTGGACAACCTCTTACTTTCCTGAACAACATGTTTCTATTCTGTTCATCTTTATGATCATTTGAACTCCCTTGGTGCCAGCTGATGTTATTCACAGTGTCTTGTAAATGCCATGAACTTTGCCCTTATTAGAAGTTATTTCTTCTCTAGAATATTCAGAATTTCAGATGCACCAAAAAAGACTAGAGAATTCCCCAAATAAGTACATCTAAACATGTTTCTTTTTCCTTTTTGGGGTGAACCAGGATATTTTCGTAGTACTAATTTATTTTAAGGGGCTTACCTTTCTCACTAAGAGCTTGCTGGTGCTCCTACTGAAACGTAGTTCAAGTTCTAGTATCAAATTGAAATATAAACCGAAACCTAAATACTTAAAATAGTGACCCTATATTAGAGGGGGGAAATCAATACCAAAGAGTTGGAGTTAACATATAAATTTTACTATGCAGTTTTAGTTGATGATCATTTGCATCGGTAATGTAAAAAACATAGAAAAGGGACTCAATTGCTGCAATGACCTAAGAAAAATTACCACTGCTTTGGTATTAGTTCATGATTCATATACTTGCACGTGAGTCAAGCACAATTAGTCCCACACTGATCAAAAACAGAAGCTTCAAATTTTCCTATAACATATTTCAATAGACTGGGATACATTTGATACATAGAGTCATGCTGTGAGCACAAGCGAATTATTCTTTCGCCTTTTACTAAAGAATACCGTGTGCTCATAGTTCGAATGACATACTCATGTTTTTGGAAGGTGACTTTCTAATAGAAGGTCCCTAATTTCAAGTTTGCAATTTTGATACGCTGTTCTTGTAAATCGTTTTAACAGAGCTTCTTAACTTTTCTGGTTTGTGGTCACGACTGTCCTTCCTCCACTGTTCAAATATTTGTCAAATTCTAATTCTAATTTTCAAACATAAAATGAATCAACAGTGACCCGGGTGGAAAATTACCATTGCACTCCGATTTTTCTTTCTATCCCACAATTTTACTTTCTATCTCACAATTTTATGCATTGCACTCCGATTTTTCTTTCTATCCCACAATTTTACTTTCTATCTCACAATTTTATGCATTGCACTCCGATTTTTCTTTCTATCCCACAATTTTACTTTCTATCCCACAATTTTATGGGATGTGATATTTTGGATGAGTTAGTTTGTTTTGGATTTGAAAGGTAGTTTTATACTTTTATTATGGCTACATGTTTTTAATTTATTAACTTTCTTGGACTTTAATGCCAATAGTGACTTTTTAGTTCAAAAAAAATTGGATTTTAAAGTCCTACATAAAGTCTCTTCCAGTTTGAGATATATTTTCCTGTTGAGTGATGGTTAATTTTGTATCTTTCATTGTGTGGACCAAGAATTTGCTAAGGCCTCAGGTACACTTTTCGGTGTTACTTGAAACCCATCTGTTCTGTAGTTGTTTACCTTTATTTGATTGCTTTCTGAAATGCTTTTGTTTTGTTATCTAAATGATTGTTGTACATTAGGCATTGATTTTTTATTCATCTGGTTGGATATGGAGTGTTTTCCCTTGCAACATTCCAGGTTTACAACTTGCGACACTTATTTTTTAATCACGACACGAGTCCCTAATTCCTAGTCATTCCATGCAAGTGACTGCATTCTCAAAGCTATGAGTGCCCCTGGAAGCCTGCAGACACATAAACCAAACACATTTCATAATTTGAGCACTTATATTCTCACATTACAAATTTAATAGTATTTTTAAAATTTGCCTTAGTCATATGACTTTTCTAACGATGAGTACTTAAAACTATCTATAATTTTTTAAAATCATTTTAAGCACTCTTAATTTTAATTAGTTCAAGTTTAAATGAGGATATTTTTGTTTTTAGATAAATGATATTCTAAGATTGTTCTAATCTTGATTGATCTTAATTTAAATTTGATCGTTAAATTTTAATTTTTGGCATACCATAGATCAATAAAAGATAACGGACTTAACTTATTTTTGTAATTTCTATCTCATTGTTAAAAGCCTTATTCTTATCTTTTTAAATTTATTCATATTTAATAAAATAGAATGATTTTTTTAAGGGAATAAAATAGAATGATAAAACATATATTATACTCTTTAGTTTTTTTAATTTAATTTAAATTCTAAATGTACTTGAGTAGTATATGAACTTGTCAGTATCCCTAATGAAACGTACTTAAGTTATATATTTAAGGGACAAAATCAAATACCAAAGAGTTGGAGCTAGCGTATAAAATATAAATCTTATTAATACATTTTTAGTTATAATCATTTGCTGCGATAATATAAAAACAAAGAAAAGGGAGTTAAATGCTGCACCATTAAGTCTTATTATTTATTAGTTCATAGTTCACATAAATGCAGGTGAGTCAAGCACCCAAGTCCCACATGGATAAAAGTAAGAAACTCTAAACCTTCGTACAACCTATATCAGTAGACCAAGTAATTGTGTACCTCATGGAGTCATGCTTTGAGCACAAAGCGAACTATTCTTTCGCCTTTTACTAAAGAGTACCGTGTGCTCACAGCTCAAGTGACATACATTTATTTTTGGAAGGTGACTCTTCTAAATAGGAGTCCCTGACATTCAGTTTGAACTTTTATTCAGGTGTTATTGGAGGCTCTTAAGTGTGACCTTAGTTTAATTTCTTTTAAGTGATTTTAAGATTGCATAAGAGAGTTACTCGTTATTTTAGAGTTTTAAATTAAAAATACTTTATTTAAAAAGTTATTATAACTCGAGTTATTTTTTAAAGCTGTTAAAGGTAGTTCATCAAAATAAACAGAAATTTTATTTTCTAGAGCCATTTTAAAAAAGTGAAATAAATACACCCAAAAATTGTGAATGTATTTATTATTATTATTTTTTTCATAAAAGACAACTAAATAAAAGAAAATCGAGATTTTAGATTGGCACTCAGGCAGAGGCTTTATTGGACAAAATGGTCCTACAACCTCAGTGGAGTTTGACTACGGTCTCAATATCCAGACTTTTCATCATTTTTTTTCTATATTGACTAATTTTTAAGATGACAAAATTATTTTAACAATTCTCCAATTATTGAGTATCAATCATTTTAGTCCTAACTTAATACATTTTAATAAAATTTAGCGACCAATTTATAGTTTTTTAATATTTTAAAAATTATTTTGCATGATTTTAAATATTTCTCAAGGATCACTTGAAAAATAGAAAAATATATAGCTGAAAAATTAAATTGGTAGTTTCCTCTTTTTTTCATGCATGCAAACATCATTATGAGGGGTGTGGAAATTGACGAATTAGAGTTGACCCAATCAATAATACATTGCATGGGGTGTCGGTTGAATTGAATTCGCCAATTGGAGTTTCGACCTTAAGTTTGTTTAGTTCAGCTTAATGAAATATTATTATGGGCAAGCTAGATTATTATTATTATTATTATTATTATTATTATTATTTATTATTATTATTATTTTAGACCATTATTTGTTGATTATATATATATATATATTAATTATATTGTTAGATGTTCATTTAAAAAATAAAAAATGAAGATTTAATTGAATTCCAAGAAACTTGTAATGCAGTGAATTTCGTCAAATTTTGAATATATTATTGATATATAATATGTTAATGAAAGAATACAATATGATAATAAATATATAATTTTATATAAATATTATATACATGTTAATTATTAAAGTATAGGTAGTTCTGAAATATTGTTTTGGATAAATAAATTTTAAAAAAAAAGTACTAATGAGATGCCTGTTTTAGCTTGCAGTCTACATATATACTACAATGAATTCAACTGGGTTAATGAATTTTCAGCTCATAATTAAATTAATTCAACTCAAGTTTTGTTGGCCAACAAACAATTTAGCCTGAAAAAATTTAATTGGCACTTTTAATCGTAATTACTGCCATACTTTACGCATATTAGTATTATTTTTTAAATATTAAATTAACTTGATTTGTACTTTTAACCATTATATATATATATATATATATATATATATATATTTTTTTTACATTTATATAATTTTTTATCATTCAATTACAATTGTAGTTGAATTTATTAATTTTTGTATATTTTGTTTTTTCAGAACCAAAAGTGGTAGAATAGGAAGCACTTTAATATTTCTTGCAAAACACTAATGAGACACATTGAGACTGTCTCACATAGAGAATTATTGTACAGATTTGAAGTGTAAGTAATTTAATCAATCATAAAACATAATTATTCAACTAACTCTTTTGTGTAAAAAAAAATCTCGTAACAAAAAATTGTCCATCAAACAAAATTTTAATAATGTGAAGGAGAATCAAACATGCATTCCTTAAAGAGGATGAGTTAACTCTTCCATCTTTTACCATTTATGTCAATGTAAATTAGTTTATATATTTACTCATGATTGTCTTACACAAATAAATTAAATATGTAAGTGTATAACTTCTTTTTAATTAATATATTTTTCTCCTGTTGCCGTTGACGCCTGAACATTACATCAATGGAAGAAATAGGGGTGAATCAATCCAATAAATTTATTAATTTAAACTGAATTAATTAAATTATTTATTTATTTTTATTTAGATTCAACTTGACTTAAATTAATTAAATTTGATGTTGATTGGTTCGAATATTAAATTTACACATTTAAAATTTAAATAAGATTAATTAATTTATATATAATATATTTTTATTTTTATTTGGTTAATAATTAATACGTATGTATCATTTTTATAAATTTGAATTTCTTTTGTGTTATAATACATAAATATTTTCATTTTTTTTAATTCTTAAAAGATCAATATTACAATATATTGAATATATAATTTTTACACATGTATTTAAGATTCTTAAGTATATTAAATAAATTAAGAGAAATTCTATTATAAATCTATCAATTTAATTAATATTAAAAATCTATTTATTTTTTTAAATTATTACTTATAAAAAAATTCATTAGATATGACTTGAATTGAATCAAACCCAATAAATATCATATTGATTTGGTTCAGATTAAGAAAAAAAAAATATACTCAACCCGTTAACAGATTTACTTAAACTCAAATCAAGCAAATCCGCGAACAGTGCTTGAAAGAAACAATTAAATAAACATGGACATGAAATTATACTCGACATGTTATTTGGTTGAATTCATATGAATCGATTATATTATTTGAAGGGATTAATTTGTTTTTATGTATAAAACTTGTTTACATGTTCTTCTAATCAATTATATATATATATATATATATATATATTATACTATACTATACTTTATGGTAGTCAATTTTATTAGTGTTACAACATAAGAGATGGCAGCAACAAAAATAAGAATGATAAGATAGATGAGAAGTCACATAAAAAACATGATACAAAAGGATTGTATATGAAGACTTCTTGGTGTGGTACTGATAGAGAGAAAATATGACAATAAAATATGTTAATGGTTCAAGCACGTACAAAAAAAGCCACAAGAAACACAATGAAAAGACATCAAAATAATAATGCAAGTGCGAAAATGTGTCACATAACGAATATAATAGAGTAATTTGAAATCACTATGATTCTTATATCTAAAGAATGAAGGCTTTGATGTTATTAACCATTATTTGTAACAAGCTAATTATAAAGATAATTAATTGAGTCTACAATAAATCATGTGGAGAGATGCAAAGAATGTAAAAGGGATTTGTTCCTCTCACATAATAAGAGTTATGTCTTGGACTTCTCAATAAAGTGAGACATGAAATATGCACGATCACGTGAGAATTGGCCAATATGATGTTTGAACATCTACTTACATATTGAGGAACATATGATTAAACTTAACGAAAATAATATTCTTATGTTTCATGTTCAATCAAAGACACATGGACGAAGGGACAAATATATTACTCCACAATTATTATGGTTGTGAAAAGTTGAAATTACATCATCAATTTTTTTCATTAATTAAGTAACAATGATGTATTACTAAATGTCAACATTTAAATATTATATTGACGATTAAGTGAGAGTTTATAAGTCGCACACATTGAATAAAAACTTAATAAGTTATATTTATCAAATTATTAGTTTATCTATAAATATACTAATAATATTATTGATATTAATTTATCAGTAATATTATTATAATAATAATAATATATAAATTTTATTTATTTAGTAATAATAAATAAATATCATTTGATACATTAATTAAAAATATAATATACATTAATTTGAATAGACAAATAATTGTATAATTTTAAAATATTGTATATATATGTAT